GAGAGAGAGAGAGAGGAGAGAGAGAGAGAGAGGAGAGAGAGAGAACAAGCACTGGCAAGAAATATTTGAGTCTGTTTATATAGTCAGATTTACTTTTCCCTTGGTTTGGGGTGTTTAGTTCTAGGTCAAGGAGAAGAGAGAAAAGAAGTTGCTGCAAAGGAATTACTGGGGACTCACAAAAATGATTGTAGTCTGTTGACTTCAAGTTTGTTACATGTTTTTAAACTTTAAATTCCAAAAATTTCAAAAACTCAGAAATTAGTAAAATTAGCCATTTTACTATTTAATTATTTTGTGCATACTTCCATTTAAGCCAGAAGATTATTTGGGAAACATCTTTAAAGTATCTGCCTGGTTTTGTAATGAGGAGAATGAAAGAGTCTGAGGGTGGACCAAACTGCCCCATCAGTGAACCTATATGGTTTCCGGAAAACTTTCAGTTTCATCAGTAAAAGGGTCCAAGAAAGGGGCCAAGTCTCCGACCAGGGCTTTGGCCCATAAAAACTATATTTCCATCTTTAAGTAACATCTATTATACCTGCTACTGTCTAGACTCTTGGAGTGGGAGAGTAGGTTTTTCCTGGTGTTCTTGGGCCTGGGTAGAAGAGAACCTTTTGCTTCCTTTCTGAAGTTCCAGGCTAACCTGTGCTGTTCAGCTTTATCTGCTCTTCTAGCAGACTGCTAGCTACTGATTCCATAGTTGAGGGGCCTGTTCTTGGTTAGGCCCAGTAGATGCCTGTCAAAGTACATTACTTATCTCAAGGTGGGATATTCAGTAGTGTGCTTGTAGTGTGCTTGCAGCAGATACTGAACAGAGATGCTCTATATTAGTTAGGACAAATTGGTTGTAAATGATGAATTCAAAGCAAATTCAAATTAACATGGGTTTTATTTAATGCAATTCAAAAGAATATCTGCACAGCCAAGCCAAAGAGGCACTCTAAGCAGCAGACCTCAGAAAAAGCTGGACCCAGAGGCCACAGTGTTGCCAGGACTTTATCCTTCTGGATGCTCTTCTCTGTGTCTTGACTCCTTCATTCCTTTTTCCCAGCTGGCTGGCTTATTCCATGAGGCTGCCAAGAATTCCTGTCTGGCAACTCAATGGTTAAGTCAGAGAGAGTAACTGACTTCTAAAACTCCAGTTTGGGCTAGCCTACTATACCTTGATCATTTAACTAGTCAGGCGGGAGAGTCATGTCAAAGTATGGCAGGTCACTCAGGAATCATGTGGCAGGAATCACAAGGCAGACAGAATAGTAGGTATGCACTGTTTTTGTAAGGGCCAAATTAGTCTATGATATCTAGTCCCAAGGTATCTATGTGAAGATAACTGAACTCAGAGACTTAGGCTCTTAGCTGTCAAAGTCAGAGTCTAGAAGGAATGGTCACATTGTAAACTTTAACCTCTCCTCTCTTCATTGCTAGTTAGGCAAATAGAGATTTCTTCCTCTTTATGCCATTGATGGAACCTTTAGAAAAAACTGCCATCTTCCTAATGTGACAGTGCACAGGGGAAAGAACTTGGCTGCAGACACATAAAGCTGGATGGATGAGTAGTGGCCTAGCACAACCTGGGGCTAGGGGCAGAGGGGGACTAGAGCCAAGTTTCTGGGATGGCATAGGCCAATTTCAAAAGAAGTTGACTAACAAGCTGCAGGGTTTGGAATTAGAAGCTAGGAATACAATTTACCTCCCAGAATAGGGTAGAAGATAGGGACTCCTGCCTCTCCTTTTCTTAGTGCTATTCAAGAGGGAAGAGAATCTTGAGGAGGAACATAGTTCAAGATCAAGAACTGGTGTTGCTCACTGATCTGGAAACATAGAAGTTCCTTGACATTTGACTCTCCTGAAAAACTATGTAATGGACTCTGGCAGAAAATAACCTCTTTTGCTCTCTCCAACCTGCTGATTTTTCTACTTCTTTCTGAAATGTAAACTGCAATTGATTTAGCCAATGCAAGGATTCTGCACAGAATTAACATTTGCCTATTAGTTGACTTGTACAATAGGGTTTGCAGTTGACATTTTATAATTGAGCACTCCTCTACAAATGGAGTACACCCAGAAAATGAGCACTCCCCTGCCAATGAGCAGTCCTTTATAAATGGGCATTCTTCCACAAATGAGCATTTCTAAAAATGAGCACTCTAACAACATGTATTCATCAACCAATGAGCACTTCTGTAAAGATGGAGCACTCCTTTACACAGAGTTCTTCTATTCTTAATGAATAGGCTTTAAGCACTGTGTATGTATATACAGTGGTCTTATTGTCATGAGTCCTATTTCTATAGCTCTGCTGTGTATAATTTATGATGCATGGCAGCCGCTGCTGGCCTGTCAGCCTCCATGATACTACCCTACTACTTATACAAGGCCTTCAGGATAGTGGAGGGAACTAGTATAGTGATCATTCAAGGTTAAAAAGTATAGGACTTAACCTCCTATTTTGCTCCTGTCTTGAAAAAAAATATATTCTTTGACAATTTCATACCTATGTATAATGTGTCTTGATTAACTAATTCATCCTTCCCACTCCCCCTAGAGTCCCCAACACATGCCCCTCCTACTTTGATTTCCTCTTCCCCTTCTTCCTTTTATTTTTTTAAATAACCTACTGAGTCCAATTAGTCCTACCTGGATGTACATGGACAACCTACCCAGCAGCTACACCCCCCAAAGAAAAATGACTCCCCCTCCCCCAACAACAATCAGTTGCCAATAGCTTCTCTGCTAGGGGTAGCGCCTCAGTGCCCCTCCCCCATTCATGCTGGAATTATTGACTAGCTTAATCTTGTTCAGATAACCATACCTGCTGTGAGTTCATGTGTGAAACTGCCATGCCATGCCCAGAGGACAGCATTTCACAGCTCTTTTTCTAGTCCTCTGGCTCTTACATTCTTTTTGCTCCTTCTTACTCAGTGTTCCCTGAACTTTGTGGGGTTCAGGGCTGAGTTTATTCTCAGCTCTTTGACCAGTTATGGGTTTTTGCATTAAACACTGCCTGCTGCCAAAACAAGCTTCTCTGACCAAAGTTAAGAGAAGCACTAATCTGTGGGTATAAACATAGTTAGAAAATAGTTTGATATCACATCTGTTTAGGAAAACAATAGTAGTAAGTTCCCCCTCTAAGGCCTATGACCTTTTCAGCCATGGACCTTTGACTAGGTTTACTATACCAGAAGTGAATTATCTCCTGTGGAATAGGCCTCAAATACAATCGGAAAACAATTGACAGTTGTGCCACTTTTGTACCTGTAAGCAAGTTCTCATTGTAACATCCATAATTGACCACTGGGTAAGTCCATTGATGAATTTTCTCCTCCTTTGGCCTACATAGCACCTTTCAGCATTATGAAAGCTAGCCAGCAAGGAGAGAGTTTCTAGGTCAGCTCCAGCTTCCCTCTGTCTTGGTGGAAAAAAAGTGTTTCAAGGATTCAAATTGTGGTGGTGAATTCACAAGTGAACACTAATTCCTTCTGCCTCTCTTTTCTCAGTTTGCTCAATGCATTGTGGGACTCTTTCATTGACTGGCAATCAGGCCTGTCTTACTTGAGCCCTGTAATAGTTCTTTTGGGGTGTAGTCATAAAGTGGGTAATGTGGATGGACTATCTTACCCTTTGTTTCCTCTAGGAAACTACTTCTCTTTTGCCTTGATGCTTGTCATATGAAAATGATTGCCTCAGGTCGGTACTTATGGAATACTGAAAATGCAAATAAGAGCCAGCCAGTTTCCTGGGACTCCATTGGTTCTAGGCCTAAGGGATATAGGACCTAGGGCTTCTAAGTCACACAGATTTCTCTTTGACCTGCTCTCATTCATTTCTGATTTCTTTTGGCCTTATAAACACTTAGTGGTCATAACCAAATCTGAATCAAACCTTAAAAAAAAAAAAAAGAGTAAAAGTCAAGGTCCCTTTGTGATTTGTTAGATGTGGGTGAGTTTAGAAAGAATCAAAAATTTTTTTAAATTTTTTAATTGGATTTTCATGTATTTCATACAGAACATCTTAATCAACTTTATACCATCTTCCTCATTGTCATTCATACATTCTGTCATTTGTGTTAAGGCCTATCATGTAAAGTTAGTGTTCCCAGATGTCCCTCAGTTTAAGTTCATCCACTGAGGTCTAGTCAGCCTATCTAG